CAGATATTATTATATTTCACAGGTTCTCACCATTCCACCACATTTCTGTACTCTCTAGTATATCTTAAGTTATCCTTTAAAACAGGTACTCCAACTCCCCCATTTTGGCTTGGAGGCTTCTAGCATTGACATAGGAACATATATTGCATATGTGGTATTCCACCCCAGACATCTCTGGCATGCTCGTCTTCTGATACGGTCCTTAGCCTTCTCTGTTTGGCTACCGCGTTTCGCCACGTGGTTGTGCCATTTCTGCTTCATCTTCATTTGGCAACTGGATACATTTTAATCTTCATCCTCTAGGGATGATTCAACTTGAACTGGAAATAGCATCAAGCAGTCTAGAAAATTTAAGAGGGACAGACTGCTCTACAGAAGTGCTATTGGAGAAAAGATCAAACTTCAAACTAAATTTAGTACTAGAAACAGGCTTCTCAGCACTATTCTGCTTTCTTTTAGGGTTCACTGTAGAGGTGCACGGCCCTCTTTTTAGGTTCAAAGGCAGCAGTCTGTTCTGTTTTGGTTCAGGTGGAGCCCCTAGTTATGTATATTTGCTTTATATGCAAAGACAAGGAAGATCGTGGCCTCCTTGCCCCGCTGCCGATCTTGCGTGGGTGCTTAACTCACTTGTATGTTGACATTGCATCACATTGGCCTGCAGTCAGAGGGCTGGCTCTGTCGAAGACATGCCTCCTTACAGCAAGCCAAGCTCTTGCTAGCCTGTCCCAGCTGCTACTGCAGCTTATACGATTAAAAAGCAATGGAGGCGATATAAAAGAGTGTGTCATCAAATCAGTACTATGAACTCTGTCCATCATAGTAACACCAATTTATATGTAATGGGTGTAATCCAATTTTCCAGTCCAGTATCATGCTTGAATCTAATCTGAGAAGCCATACAAATAAAGGATTCAGGGTGATAGTTCCCGTACATTCATCCTTCACGGAGGAGAGAGAACCGTAGGGGAGAGAGAGTGAACAGGAAAAATGGGGAGTTGGAAATAAGCAAATAAGCAATTCAGTCAGATGCCTGCAATCAGGCATATTTGGGGATCTCCTAATGTTCAGAATGGCACAGAGCAATCCACTTCAAAGAGTGTTTTCACCATGTTTTCATACTTCGGAGGGTTTTGACTTAGCCGTTTCTGGTGCACTTGAATGGTGGAAGGTCATTATCTATTGTGACAATAAGTCTGGAGAATTAAATCTAAACCAGTGGTAACTGCCGGGCAAATGAGACTGCTGTATGCATTGTCAGTTCAGTGCTTATTTCCACCGTTCTTGACATGGTGAATGAGCCGGTGAATGGAACATATTGCAGTGGTGGCACTCCGTCCCCTTTCTGTTTCCTGCTTTGGCTTGATGTTAAATGTCACAGCAGGGTGCTCCTGAAATTTAATTATGACAAATACAGCATTCTGCCATGCTGTTTGTTTATAAGGCTAGAAAGCTCCAGGGGGCAAAAGCCATGGAAACATGCTGAGCTTGTTCTCTCTGACACAGTGCTTCAATTAGGCAGTTCAGGCAGGTGGTGTTGGCAATGCCGGAAGCCTCTGGGAACTCATGCTATGTGTGATAATTTTTGTCCAGGGCCCAAGCGCCTCCCTAGAGGATGACCGTGGAAGTGAAATAAGAACGGAAAATTGTTACGTGCTTTATGTGCTCTCTCCTTAAAACTCCAAACTACTCCTTCATTTTTAAATGTGCTAGTAAGAGATTGAAACTCTGTGCAGACCCAAAGGTGGACATGGCTTCTCTCATTCCCTCCTCCTTCTTTCTCAGGTTCCCTTCCCTTCTTACTGTAGACTCTTATTCAGGTGTCTGAATTCAGCTGGAATTCATGAGATGAGGAAACAAAGAGTGGGTTTAGATAATGAAAATAATCTTTATACTTTTGACTTATGATGAAGAGCAGGAATTCTAGTATAGAAATAGAAGATAAGAAAAGTACCCACAAGGGAATGCATCACAGGAAAGCTTATTGTTAAGGGATTCACCATATCTAATTAGCATGTGCTCTTTGTGAGCTTATTTTCTCGCCCAAATATTGAGAACACAGAATCTTGTGATAAAAAGTAATTTGCAATAGATTCAGGACAAAGAAACCCAATTTATTCTTCATAGAATCCATAATTCATTTACAGAGGCTATTGTCCTAAGTTGAGGTGATGGCTTACAGAATCAAACAGGCCAGGTAAGTCTTGGCTTTATGATCCATGATCATTAAGAACATCTGAATATCTGAAATTGCTCACCCTCTCTTTCGACTAGACTAGGTACAAAGATCAGTAGGAGTCCTATGGAGCAATGCCAAGTGAAAGAGCCGTCAGTACAGTGGCTCTAAGCTTGCAGAATTCCCTTCCCTCTGAGGTACCTCTCCTGCCATCACTGTGCGCTTTTTTTTGTCCGCAAGTCAAAATCCACATCTTTACCCAGGCCCCTGAAAATAGATGAAGGATATGACATTGTGTTATTTCCCTGGTGGAAAATGAAATATCACTTTAGACTATGATGCAAATTTAATTGTTGTTTGTGGTTTTATGCTGTTTTATATTGTTTATTGAAAAGTATGCACCTGATCCTGGAAGTATAAGGTAAATGGTAGGTTATAAACTTAATTAAATAAACAAAAAGCCATTCATGCTCAGAATCTTGTTCTGCAGTCAGATTCTCCTGGGAAGTCAACAAGCAAAGCACTGTGGCTATTAGCCATTCTCCATTGCAGCCTCCATGTAGCCATGTTGGCTAAATGCTGTTGATAAATCTATCTGTAGTGTTTTCCCCCTAGTCACTACCTCATATGGCTCTTTTATGGCCATATAAACTACTGAAATCCCTTCCAATTATAGCAATGTATTCTCTATGTTAATTATGTGTTGTGTGAATGTGTTGCTAATCAGTTCTATTCCAGAACTAGTTCTAGAATTATATATGAGAGATGTGGAAAGCGCGGAAAAGTATCTTTAAAAACTGCACCTCTGCATTTAGCATAGTCTGGCAATAGATGCTATGGATGAGCATTAAGGAATAGTATCCTTCATTCCTGTGCGTCCCTTGGACCGCAAGGCGATCAACCCGGTCAGTCCTAGAGGAGACCAACCCTGACTGCTCTTTAGAAGGCCAGATCCTGAAGAAGAAACTCAAATACTTTGGCCACCTAATGAGAAAGAAGGACTCCCTGGAGAAGAGTCTAATGCTGGAAACAATAAATGGCAAAAGAAAAAGGTGATGACAGAGGATGAGGTGGCTAGATGGAATCACTGAAGCAGTTGGTGTTGAGCTTAGGTGGACTCCAGGGGATGGTGGAGGACCAGAAGGCCTGGAGGAATGTTGTCCATGGGGTCGCGATGGGTCGGACACGACTTTGCGACTAACAACAACAACAATCCTTCATTCTCATGGGCTTCCCAGGGGTATCTTTCTGGCCACTGTCTGAAACAGGGCTGGACTAGGACAGCCTTCAGATGGGGCTGGGCTGATCTCCCCCTTGCAGTGAGAAGAAAGGGGCTTCCCTTGGCCACTTGGCCAATAGGTGAGGCTAGAATGTGCCACCCTTTGGCTATCCCAAGGGAACCATCCAAGCTAAGTGCTCCTCCTGGCAGGCAGGAGGGATGAAGTGAGCTGCTTGTAGCTGCTCCAGTGTTCTCCCCATGATGCTCATTCTGGGGAGCAGGCCCTGAGTGACTCCTTTTCTCCACACTGAACTTCCTTGTTCAATTGAGCAGTAATTTTGCATATATTTAAAAAGGTTTCATTCTGACAAAACATCTTCCTTGTGGACCATTTGCCATTGAATTGTACAGCACAGTATCATTTAGGCATACCACTGTATCCTGACACCCCCAAATTCAGTGCAGCTCTGAACAATCTTTGCGGGTTGGGGATGCAAGGGAGGATGGGGAGCTGCAGAACTCCACTGGGAGCCCTTCCCTAAGGAAAAATGAGCTAACAGATGTCAGGTACTGCTCAACACAAAGGAATTTTTTAGATTCACCCTCTGTTCTCTACAAGCAAATTGGCTGGAGCAAACATAAAAATAGATTTAAGCACTCATAGGTGTTCTGCCAAAGTTACCTAGAATGCTAATGTGGGTTTTAGTTGTTGTTTTAAACAAGGGCAGGACATGCTTAAAAATGCGGATGTTCTCACTGTGATATCTGATTTGTTCCTATATGGAAGATAAGAAAATACAGTAAGAAACTAATTGTTTTAAGTAGCTAGCTGGGGACCTGGTTGGCATTTAGGCCTGAATGTTAATGTTTGTCTAATGCTGCTTATCTATCAGTGGATGGTAATCTGAACTCCTGCTTTTTCAGCTAGAAATTAATTGCACATACTTCCTCTTGGAAATTGAAGCCGGGACTTACTGTATTTTGTTAAAATACAGAGGTCTTCCAAGATGCATACACTGCAATTTGTTGCCAGGGTTCTTCATGTCCAAGTTTCTCTAAGCCATTTGGAAGTACAGTGCAAAAAATAAGATCCATCCATTTTCTTATGTTTTTATCTGTATTTTAATTGATCTTCTTTTATGGATTTTAGGGGCTGCAATGTTTTTAGTTTTTAGAATGGTTTTAATTTGACTGTGAGCCACCTAGAGGTGTTATAGTGCAGTGGGCAGCATACAAATGTATTTAAATTAAATTAAATTAAATTAAATTAATTAAACTGAGACTGTGCTAAAGTTGATCTTCCACTCGAGTCCTGCTTGCTGGTTTCCCACAGGCAGCTAGTACAAACAGGATGCTGGGCTAGGAAGATCGCTAGTTTGATCCAAGATGGCTCTTAAGCCCACGACATCTAAGCAGCACCATCTTGGGGAAGGTTGCTGGACACAACTCTGTCCTCAGTGCAAAGAAAGAAGTGCATGTAGGGCAGATAACTGTTGTAGAGATTCTGCTAGAATGTGTGTCTAGTATAGAATGATCTTGCAAGGTGAAGTGAGCTGGTTAGAATGAAAATTCTCATGGTCAATTAACATGCTTGCTTTTGTTTTTCAGTCCCCCAGGTCCTCAAGAGCTGCACAGAATTCATTGAAAAACATGGCATTGTTGATGGAATATACCGTCTATCTGGGATTGCCTCTAATATCCAGAAGTTACGGTATGCTTTTTTTTGGTGTTGTCATTGTCAAGTCTAGGATGCTAACTACAGATTCATTCTTTCTGTGCTCATCCCTTCTCCTAGCATATCTTTTAAGCATAATTAGTTAACAATTTTGAAATGTAGCCCACTTTTCAAGTGTCTTAGAGATAAAAAGTATGTCATTGCTAGGCTGGAAAGCAGTTTTGTAGCTTCAGGTTCATTAGTTAGGATTTCAGAATATCTGTATTCTGTTTGTGGGATAGTAAATATTTGTTGTTCTATTAATGACTTGTGTGAGAGAGCTTTTTTTCTGATCTCAACTGTCTGGCTCAAACCTATATAATCTGAAACAGAAAGGTCCATGCTATTCAGCATGAAAAAAGCATTGCCAGTTAAGGTCCATGCCCTATATCTTTTGTTTATAGCTCTCTATTCTTTGTTCGGGCAATGAAGGCCAATGCAGAAGGATTTTCATCATATGATTCTTGCTTCTGTGGCTTACATGGTCTTATGAATACTCTTTGCACAATAATCTGGATGTTCAGGACTCTGTCCATCCCACCCTGCTTATAATTTTGCTTTCTAGATAGCTCATTTTGAGAGGAGAGGCTATTTTCATTCTCTCAGCTGGGATACTGACAGGAATCCGGAACTTGTGATAATTGGAATTGTCCATGTTTGGTTGTATCCACACAGAATATAAGTCATGTAGCTGCTTTTGTAATAGCGTTTTCCACATTACAGGCAATAGGATTTTTGAGTAAGCCAGTCAACTATAAACCACCACTGCTGCCTCCGGAGGAATCATTTCATCTAGAAAAAATGTGAACTTGCAGAAATGTGGCTTCATGCTTGGGCATTTTCTTCTTGTAAATGAAACCCTTGTTGTCTGTTGGTTATGTATTTTCTTATTTTTCTTTCCTTGTACCCACTCAATGTTTCTTTTGTACCTAGGCATGAATTTGACTCTGAGCAAATCCCTGACTTAACAAAAGATGTATATATTCAGGATATACACTGTGTGGGTTCGCTCTGTAAGCTTTATTTCCGAGAACTCCCAAATCCTCTGCTCACCTATCAACTCTACGAGAAATTTTCAGTAAGTGTAAGACAGGTATTTTATTTAAAATTGTATTTCATGACCAGCATTAGTGTAAAATATTTTACCTTTTGACCATTTTTTAAAATAGATTCAAATCAGACTTGAACTAGCGAACTATACAACTATATAGCTTGTTCTGAGTGCTTTTTTTTTGTTGAAAAGTACAGTACGAAACAAATAAACAAACTATGCATTTGCTGTGTATTTATACAGAATCATAGAAACATGTGAGGTTCATTCATCATTCTTGTAGCGTACCATTTGGCATAATTATCTGCATTCTCCGTGTACATGTGGAAGATCCTGGAGAGATACCTCAAGGTTCACTGGAAGTCCTTAAGGATATTTGGGAAACATCTTCTACCTGCAATATGATGACTTGTTAATGCCATTATTCTGTATTGACTGGATTTAGAGACCAGAATTCAACTCCTCACTTACTTATGAAGCTTTATGGGTGACCTTGAGGAATTCAAAAACACTCACCCAATCTATCTCACAACAACATTATGACAATAGGAAAGAGAAAACATTGTGTACACTGCTCTGGTCAATTTGCAATCAGAGTGGAATATCAAAGTAATAATACCTTGCTGATTACCATATTTTTCCATGTATAAGATGCTACTTTTTCTTAAAAACATTTACTTAAAAATGGAGGTGCGTCTTATACTCAAGGCGGCCCAGGCGGCACAGGTGAGGCAAGGCAGTGCAGGCGAGGCGAGGCGGGTGCGGTGGGTGTGGCAGCAGCTTGCTTGCTGGAGATGGGTAGGAAAAGTGGGGGGCATCCTATACATGGGGGCATCTTATAGATGAAAAAATACGGTAAATGTGGGGTAAATATGTGGGTTGCAACACAAGGCATGCTAGATGAAAGCATTTTCACTCAGCCTCAATACATTATGATTTCCATACTAATTATCTACAGGACAACTACTGAGTGTAGGAGAACCAGCCAGGTATGTAGGAAATGCATAATGTTGATATTTGTTACACCTGTTTCCTGCTAGGATGCTGTGTCTGCGGCTACAGATGAAGAACGCTTAGTTAAAATCCACGATGTCATTCAGCAGTTACCTCCACCTCACTACAGGTCAGCACAGAGCTAATTCTATCTTAATACACCCCTGCCACACTTAAAAAACCCCTAGATGCCTTTAATGACTCCAGACTGTGACCTCTGTTTCCTGCAGATTTGCCAACACTCCTCTATCTCACCTGAGTTGATGCCTGCCTCCTTATGTGCTTTGTATATCAGTATGCAACCATATAATGCACTTAAAAGGGTAGTTGGCATTTTTCCCCCGTTTTCCAATGTTTACCCAATAAGATGGCTGGCCTGCTTAGGCAGCATTGCTAGTTCATGTATTACATTAAACGGTTCAGTGCACACTGAAGGATTTTACTTACATAAAGTTGACTTCAATTTTAATTAGATCCACAATAAGACAAACAGCAAACGAGCTCAGCTGATATTTGGTAAATAGAACAGCACCCATCGTAGCAGAACTACCTAATTTTGTTAAGGCAAGGAGAGGTGATAAGATCTGCATAGTTTTGCAGAAATGGGAACCCTGTATATATCTGAACCCACAGGGTATGAAGTGGAAAGAAAATGCAAGAAATGTAGGGTTCTTTGTCTTGCATTTTAGTTAAGATTCTTCAAATCTCATTGCCGATTAAAGTAACTTGTATAAAATGCTAATACAAGCAAAAATATGCCCGACTGTTGCAGGGGCGGCAGATACGCTTAATTGTCAGCAGGGAACTGGGAAAGCTCACTGTGTGGGGCCCACATTAAGGACAAGTAAGGAATGCTGGCAAATATGAGTCAGAGAAGTGGTTTGGGGATCTGGCAAACCTTCCAAGGGTTTGCCTGACTAGCCTTGGAGACTTGGCTGCTTCTAGCATAGTTGGTCATCAAGAATCTGCTTTGTTGATGGTGAAAATGCAGTAAAATAAAATATTGTCTGCTTGGTAGATCTTAGAAGGCAGCATGGCCTCTGTGGAAGGCAACTACATGTTCTTTAAGGACTATCTATTACTAGGAGACAATCCACGTTTTGCTGGAATCTCCAGTTTTCTTGCAAGTCTTTGGCATATGGAAGCCCATGTGGAATAGCAGAGATGGGTAGCCGCTGTGGCTGATGCATGCTACCAAGCTAGCTGCTTTGCTTTGGAATAGCGAACCAAAGAATGCACTCTTACACCCACCTGCCCCATCATCAACATGCATATGACCTTTTCCAGGAAGCTTAAAGCCAGGCTTAGAACACTTAGGTTCTTCCCTAGGTACCATCTTGCTTGATCAGGGTTAACTTCGTTAATTTGGCATCGCCCAGGTTTGAGCCTTTGGTAGAGGTTCACTTGTGTGTCAATATTCAGTATTCAGGGAGCCATCCTGCCATGTTATCATTCAACGGATAATAGGCATTCAAATTCCTAGTTAAATATTTCTGTTAATTCCATTTCCCATACCAGTCTAGCAATATCTTTGCATGTTCTTTGCAACACATTGCAGAATCTCTCCCCAGCTATATGGGGGCTCATCAAACCTCCCTTTTAGGTTGTTCCATAATAGCCACCTAGCATAACCACAAAAAGAGGAATTGTGTTGCAACCTCAATATGGCATGGACAAAGTATGCAGATGCATTGGAGGTATGCTCCGATGTTTGGAATTTACTCGCAGTCCTAAATTTCATAGCCTCAGTTACTTGTAGTCCTGAATTGGGAAGCAGAAGCAAAGGAGTTGTAAATCAGCTTTGTTCTGAGACAGCTTAGAACCGGTTCCTCAAGGATCACTCATTTCCAGAATTATTTGAGAGTATTATACAAACAAAATCTTACAAAGACTGATGGCTTTTTGAAAAGAATATTTTAAAAATCCCATCTGCTTTAGTTGTGAAAATTCTTGCTGATGCTTTCTCTATGTTTTATGCCTTCATCTAAGTTGATCCAGCTTGATTCTCCCCATCCCAAAAAGACGAATTGAAGGGGGAAAAGTATCCGTCTTCCTTTGTTGTACTAGGTATAATTATTTAGTTGGATCAATGTTGCAAAGGCTCCCTCTGGTGGACACCCAAGCGTGATGGCGCTTCTCTAGATCTGAACCGATGTCCATTTGTTGGGATACGTTAATGTTTTTGCTAACATTTGCACCCTTCCCTTTGGGGTGTGGTGCACAGGGCCCTGCTGCTCCCCTCTGCTGTAGCAGCAGCACAAAATAAAAAATAAAAAGGGCAACTTAATCCTGTGGTGTGCTAAACAGGCAAAATATGCCCTGTTCACATCCTCCTCCATAGCACAGCACAGCACAGCACAGCACACTTCACATTTAAGTGAGAAAACATCTCAGTCATTTTGCTATGGATTGTGAGGTTCTGAGCAGCACCAAGGCTCTCCTGAGTTGCACCTGAGGAGCCCTGGGGAAGAACTATATAAGAACATTACTTAAAATGGAGGTGCGTCATATATGCGAGGCGGCGGGGGCAGGCAGCGAGGCTACTGTAATGCGCTCTATGTGGGGCTGCCCTTGAAAACCGTCCAGATACTTCAGCTGGTCCAGAACAGAGCTGCCAGGTTGCTGACAGGGACTGGTAGTTATTCTCATATAATGCCGGTCCTCGACCAGCTCCACTGGCTCCCAGTTGAAGTCCGAGCCCAATTCAAGGTGCTGGTTTTAACCTATCAAGCCCTGAATGGCTTGGGACCAGGATACCTGAAGGAGCGCCTCTTCCCTTGCATGCCCTCATGCCCCTTAAGATCTGTGGGAGAGGCTCTGCTCCAGGAGCCCTCTTTAAAGGAGATAAAAAGAACAACTACCCGGAGCAGGGCCTTCTCTGTGGTGGCACCCAGATTATGGAATGTGCCCCTTGGAGGGGTGCGCCTGGTATCAAGTTTATATTCTTTTTGGCGCAGGTGAAAACCTTTTTATTTAATTGCTATTTTAAAAACTAATATTTTATCGTTAACAGTTGCTTTTTTGTTTTTTGTTTTTATATAATATTTTATGGAAGTTGTTGTTGTTTTATTGTTTTTAATTGTATGTGTTGTGTGCTGTCCTGAGATGCTGAGGCATGTGGTGACAGCATATAAAAGTTTTAAATAAATAAATAAGCTGCTTTGGCAACAAAGGTCTCCTGTTGCTGGTGAAGCCCTTCCTGGTCTACTAGACCTGGGACTCCGCTCCGGTGTCCTGCCTGTGTCCCTCTTCCTGCGTCTCCTGAACTCCGCCTGCACCTCTTCTCCCCACGACTGGTCTGCTTCCCTCGGTTCTCCAACCCTTGGCTCGCTCTGGACCACGCTACCAGCCACTACGGACTTGGCTAGTATATCGACTTCCAGCTTGACCTGGGACTGTGTATTGGACTTCTCACACCCTGTCTGTCTGGGTTCTGGTGCCTTTGCCCTGTTAGTCAGCCGCCTTCACCCCAGATGCTGACAGGTTGCCGAGGCCGCTCCGCACCCTGACCTAGGCCACCATACGCAATGATATTAGCATGTGCTTCAAGCCCTGCAGGCCCAGGTACAGAGGCGCTGCAATGCTCCTTCCTCATTGTGATCTGTGCTCTTGATGTTGCTCCCGTTCATGGACTCTGTTCGTGACCCTGCTCCTCTTTGTGGATCTTGTCTGTTTTCCTGGGCCCTGTTTGCCCCAGCCTTGCCCCAGTGCTGCCCCAGTCTTGTTCCAGTAGCCCCAGTCTTGCCCCAGTCTTGCTCCAGCGCTGCTTCAGTCTTGCCCAGGCCTTTCTCCAGCCTTGTTCCAGTAGCCCGCCTTGCCCCAGAGCTGCCCCAATCTTGTTCCAGTATCCCCAGCCTTGTTACAGTCTTGTTCTAGTTTCCCCAGCCTTGCTGCTCCTGAGCTGCTCCAGTCTTGCTCCAGTTGCCGCAGCCTTACCCCAGTGTTGCCCCTGTCTTGTTCCAGTTGCCCCAGCCTTGCTCCAGTCTTGTTCTAGTTGCCCCAGCCTTGTTCCAGCACTGCTTCACTCTAGTCCCAGTTACCCAAGGCTAGATCCATGCCTTCCACTGAACATACCCAAAGAAACCAGGGCCATGAAGGAGTGTGGACCCTCCCCATCCCAGGAAAAGGGGTTCCCAGTCTAGTAGACCAGCAAGGGTTTCACCAACAACAGGAGACCTTTGTTGCCAAAGCAGCTTCTGTGGGGAAGAGCTGGTTCTTATATAGCCCCTCCCCAGGGCATCCCAAGTGGAACTCATGAGAGCCCTGGCAGCTGCAGTGGACTGAGGTCTCTGAGCATCAAAAGGAACCCTGGTGCTGCCTCAGAACCTCACATGGATTTTCTGTTTAAATGGATCCGTGCAATTTATACATTCTCTAAACAAAAAGATGACACATGAAAGCATCTAAGCGTCGTGGTGCATTAGGATGGAATTTTCCAAGGTACACAAGTAAGTAACCATTATGTTTTCAGGATTAGTTAGCTTCTGCATCGTTCTGCTGATGAGTCCAATAATGAGTCTAATAATCCTAACAAGTAATGTCAAGTACATGAAGCCCAGCGGTAGCTGTCAGGAGCTGCTGTGTGCTGCTCCATGCTGGATTTCATCTTCCTGCCACTGCATTCTGGAACTTGAATACAAGCACGTGCCTCTCCTTTCATTAATAGCTTAATACGGAAGCAAAGATGCAGCTATTTTTCAAAAAGCAGAATACTGGCTTAGGATGGCTTAGGATGTATTTTCAAGTACCTCATTTGCTAATCAGCAAACTCATATTAAAATACTTTTTTCCTGTTTCCTGTAGTAGTTGTGTGATAAGTTAGCTTTTACAACTAATGCCTTCTCTCATTTTCCAGGACACTGGAGTTCCTAATGAGACACTTGGCCCATCTTGCTGATTACTGTGCCATCACAAACATGCACACTAAGAACTTGGCAATTGTCTGGGCACCAAACCTGCTGAGGTACCTTTTTGTATTAGATTGAAGATGTGCTGTCATATCCAGGGGGTTTTATGTTCTAATCACAAGATGCAATAAATACTGAACATCCAAAACAATTTTATACAAAACTGATACCCCTTTCCATAAGATTTTTGTGCCACAGCTTTAGTTGAAAAAGGTGGGAAGCATTCTTAAATGTAAACTTTGAATTGCAACAGGATTGGAGCTTGTGTTTGCAGCCTGTGACCTATGGAATGATTACACAAACCTGAGTCCCACCTGGAAGTTTAGCAATAGATGCAGAAAGAACTGGTCCCTAGTCTTAACATAGAGATGCACAAGACTACCGGGCTGGGTGTCTCACTCAAGGTGTCACTCCCCCATTCTTTGGGATCTGTGCCGTCTTCCTGATTGGCTGAATGGCCCAGAAGATGCCAGTGCTGAGACTTCAGAGGTAGAGGATGGGGAGTGCGGGATCCATGGTGGTACAGTGCTGAAATGAGGGGAGCAGACCTTCTCTGGCGACTGAGGGGTGGCCTGCAAGGGAACCAGAACAGCAGCTTGCTAGGAAAGCTGCCTCCTCCCAGGTAGGCAGCCAGTCGGCCTGACGAGCTGTGGTCCTGTGAGACAGCAGTAGCAGTACAGTGTTGGATTATATTTTAAGGACTAGAAGAAAAAAGTACAGGGAATGGCCCAACTTGTATACAACCTGATCAGAGACAACACACCTGCATTTACCTTGAGAGACTTGGTCTGCTCCATGAGATAGAAACATAGAAACAGAGTGAGTCAGAAGGGACCTCCCGGGCCATCTAGTCTGACCCTCGGTTCCAGCCGGCTCCGCTCATGACATGTCCACCATCTGCATGTCTAGCCTATCTTTGAACACCCTTACCGATGGGGCCTCAACCACCTCCCGTGGAAGCCCATTCCATACCCTCGGGGTCCTGACTGTCAGGAAGTGCTCCCTGGCATCTAAATGGAACCTTTGCTTTGCTCCGATGGAGCGTGTCCTGCCTTCCTCTGCAGGGGAGAACAGATCCCCTCTGAGTCTCTTCTTCTCCAGGCTGAAGAGACCCAGTTCCCTCAGTCTTGCCTCATACGGCATCCCCTGCAAATCGGCCACCAACCTTGTGGCCCTACGCTGCACTGACTCTAACCTGGCTATATCTTTCCTGAAATGAGGGGCCCAAAACTGAACATAATACTCCAGTTGTGGGCGCACCAGAGTCATATAGAGTGGTAGTATTACCTCTCTCAGTCTAGAAGCCACGCTTCTGGCTATGCAACCAAGGGTGGCGTTCGCCCTCTTGACCGCCGCATCACACTGCTGACTCATGTTTTGCCTACAGTCAACCAGTATCCAGAGATCCCTTTCACAAGTGCTGCTTTCCAGCCACTTGTCCCCTAACCTGTACTTATGACACCCGTTCCTATGCCCCAAGTGCAAGACCTTGCACTTATCCACATTGAACGTCATCCTGTTGTCTCCTGCCCGCTTCCATAGTCTGTCCAGATCCTTTTGGATCTGGAGTACCTGCTCCTCAGTTGTGGCCACTGTCCCAGTTTTAGTATTGTCTGCAAATTTGATCAGCAGACTGTTCATCCCTTCTTCCATGTCATTGATGAAAAGATTAACCACCGTGGGCAGTGGTTGGCTCTGTTGGCTTCACAACAGCAGGCCAATATTAAAATAGTGCATGTACCACTGAAAGCTGGCTGATGTAGGAGCTTGGTCCTCTGAAAGTTACAGTGGCCTGTTGGCCCCTCCCCAGCCTTCCCATTGACTCTCAACATGTATCCCAGGCACTCTTGTGGCACAGCCACTTGTTTCCTTTGTCCCTGTGCTACTCCATGTCTGTAACTGGTCCACAGGAATTCCAAGCTCCCAGGGGAAATGCTCTCCTCCATCAGATTAGCAAACCAATTTTCTGAGCCCTCTTGAATGTGGAAACATGATTGCAATTATTATTGCGCAATACCACTGCATGGGCAGCTGACTAACTAAGGTACCAGGACCCAGGCTTCCAGGGTAGAGTCCCAAGTCTAATCCCAAACAAATCCAAATCTTTATCCAAAAGTCCAAGGTCACTGCCAGGAGTGGAGGCACAAGGTAAGTCCAGTCCAGGAAATAAAAGCACAGTCAAGCAAGCTGGGGGCCAAGAACCCAAGAAATCAATGCAAACAGGAGTTGGGATCTGAGGGCTGTATCATGAATTGGAGCAAAGTAGGGGTCAGGAAACCAGGCAAGGTCCAGGAACAGGAGCAGGAGCAGGATTGAGAGCAGAGGCCAGGAGTGGGGACAAGGTTCAGGTCAAGCAAGCAAGGAGCACGGCAGCAAGACTGGAGAACTTGGTTTGTTGCTTATTTCTACTGGTGTCCATGGTGAGCTGTCAGATACATGCACAGGTTACAGAGCATCAAGGTGGAACAGTGCACATGCACACTTTTCAAGGCAGAGCACAGGGTCAGAAAAGATGTGGGTTGTTTTGTTGTGCAAACCAATGACATTAGCTGGAATACTTTGAGCCAGAGTTACTGCTGACTATTGTGACTGTTAACCTCTCATCCCTTTCCTTAGATCAAAGCAGATAGAATCTGCTTGCTTCAGTGGAACGGCTGCTTTTATGGAGGTGCGGATTCAATCAGTGGTTGTGGAATTCATTCTCAATCATGTGGACGTCCTTTTCAGCTCCAAACTAAGCTCCGTTATTCGTGAAGGTGCAGGTATGTTTCCTAGGGGAGGGGCGAACAGGCTAAATTCAAATGGCTCGCGTAACATACCAAAAGCATTGAGGACAACATCAAATAATGTCACTTTCACTCTAGGCTGCCTAACTGGAGAAATGCATCCTAATGTTTGTTGCTGTTGTTAATCATCCCTCCCTTCATTTCAGGATAATGATGCTTGGCAAATTTATAAAATGGAGGCAATTATTCGGTGCATCAGAAGATGGCCTCTGTTAATTGACGTGATCCATGATGATTTCTTTAATCATAGCAATTTAGCATATTGATTTTTAAAATGTTAATGTTAATTTGGTCTTCTTTAGCTGCAGGGCATATACCATTTGGGTTCTGATATGTAACCAAGTCTGGTTTGTACAGATAGACACCACACAGACTCAGAACTAAATTGAAAGGGACCAAACACTTTACTTAAGAAACTTATCAAAATGATAACAACAGAAACACCAACTTGGTGGCTATATAGAGAACCAGTGTGGTGTAGTGCTTAAGAGTGTGGAATTGGGTCTCAGGCGATCTGGAGCCAGCTGGGTGACTTTGGGCCAGCCACAGACTCTTAGCTCAACCGACCTTACTGGGTAGTTGTTGTGAGGATAAGATTGAGGGCAGGAGGACAATTATGTAAACTGCCTCGAATTTCTTAAATATAATGCATTAATAAATGAATGAACATGATTTGGATCTCATTACTGGCCTAGTGAAGGGTTGTTGGGAACAAGGGCTGTCCAGCAAAGGCCATTAAATATTTCTGCTTTTTCCATGAAGTTTGCTGTGCTGTATCTTGCGCAAAGAAGAGGGACTACAACTATAGATCTTCGGGAGGGCTTGCCTTGTGAGCAGAAGATGGTGAAGCTTGATTAGCTTGGAGTGGTCATTTCCAACACTGTTAAAGCAGTTGTAACTCCTGGCTTCATAGAGAAGCACTGCTATGCCTCCTGCTACTCAGCATAAAGGAATCTGTTAAATTACAACTGCCTATCTAGCATCACGTGCTGCTTTTTAAATCTCTGACCTCTGAAATGGAGCATTTTGAGGCTATAGGCCCTATTCATATACTTTTGACAAGGATAGGCATGTAATTTCTCAAACTCTTCCAGGCATAACAAATTGATACCCATGTGCTATCTCATTATGTAGGATAGACTTGGCTGGTGAATTTCCCATTAGAAGTAGTATTGTCTCATTCTATAATGCTACGTGACATTTTCCTAATTGTGCTGGTTTCTCAATATAGTTGTCTATTTGTCCAGTTCCTTTGGCTTTTGAGTCGTGGCCCCAGATGTATAAGGCTGAAGTTGTTTGTTCTGTTGTGGCTGCTATCGAGTTTTAGCTTCGATGGTGCACAAACTGTTTTAATACATTTCTAGCAGGTTTTACTCTTGGTTGTGCTAATGCCAAGCAATCCCTCTGCTACAAGAAAAGTAGTCAGTGTTTCTCCATTTTTATTAGAGTTAAAAATGGGATGTGGCAGTTCAGATAATTGCTGTAATTATTGTACTGTTGTACATTTAATTTGTGTGTAAAACTCAAACACTTTTATGCTGTGTGGTGTGATCAGAAAACATTCCATGGCAGGCAGTTCTGTAGGCAAGCAGGCTGCCCTCCTTAAAGAATCGAAAGAGAAAGAACTTTTGTTTTAACATTCAGTTTGCTGCAGCATTTTAAACAAATTGTAAATCAAAATCCAGCTTTTTTCTATTCAAACTTGACCAAAAGGCCAGGAAAATGATTGTATTTTATACATATTTCTAGTAACTCAATTTCCCCTATTCCTGATTGTTTCTTGGTGAAAATAGGGCCCTGTGTTTATTTTGTTTCCATCCTCCCTTTCTGCCATCAAAGAATTAAACATGAGTGTTGAACAAGATACTTTGCTTTAGGCTGGATGTGGTTAGTGGAACAGGTGCTAGGCTGGGGAAACTTCTCCCAGTTTGCTTCACAGGACACTCGTGGCTTTCCCTCCTTATACTCCTCTTTACCTGTTCCTTGTGATATTATTCTCTGGCAGGTCACAGTTCATTGTCGCGTCCTAAATCCCTGCTGGTGTCTTCTCCTTCCACAAAGCTGCTCACCTTGGAGGAAGCTCAGGCGAGAACTCAGGCCCAGATCAATTCTCCTATAGTAGCAGACAGCAAGTACATTGAAGTTGGTGAAGGACCTGCTGCACTGCAGGGGAAATTCCACACTATCATAGACTTCCCATCTGAAAGGTAGAGAAATATGTGTGTGTGAATCGCTTTTAAGCTCAAAGACTGACTTCAGTAGTGGAGCCTCACAGTAGATTGTGCTGCTGATGTGAACGCTCCTCTCATGGTCACTCTCAACCCATAATGAACATTTCACGCCAGTTTTCCCTCCCTAGAAATGGGTGAGCTCTCCAGTTCCTACCCCTTCCCAAATTAGAAAACCTCAGATAATTTATTCCGAACTGGTTTGAGGACTTATCATGGCCATCTCCTCCCCACTGCTAACGTTAAGATTCTCTCCCCTCCACTTTCTGGCAGAGGGCTATGGTGGGACACGAAGGGGGCACTTGAGGAGTGGGAATGGGGTGCGGTTTCCTTTCTTCTCCCTGATGCACTGTTTTCCTTTCCCATGTCCCTGATACACTGGTTAGCATTATACAGGTGCACACACATTAGGTTTTCCTTAATGGCATTATATGTGCAACAATAGAGGCTACTGTTGCTGATTCTTATTTCTCCCTCCCACACCTCTTTTTTTTAAGTCAGGAGCTTTTTGTACAATACAGAACATTCTGATATTCTACACACAAATGCTTGCTGTTGTCTCCTACAGAAAAAGACCACCCAGTAAGATGAAAAAGTCCCCTGTTGGCAGTTGGCGCTCCTTCTTTAACCTGGGGAAATCGTCCTCTCTCTCCAAACGGAAACTTCAACGCAACCCAAGCGAGCCCTCCGAAATGAAAGCGATCGCTTTAGCAGGTAGGATTGTCCCTTTCCTGTGGCAGAAAGGACCCTGGGCTTTAGGGCTGAACTTCACTTCCGATTCTCCCAGTTTTCCTTGTGTTGCTTGTTTGGTTTTAGATGATGGCTGGTACATCTCTTTTGCCATTTAGCACAGTTGAGTGTTGCATAACATTGGGCTAATACACAATACCAGTGGAAGATTTGAGGAAAAAGAGCAGTGTTTCTTGCCTGTAACATCCATTCGTCCTTCACGAATCAACTTCAGCTCTGTCCATTTACCTCTTAGGGAGTCTGAAGGGAAAGCAAGCCTGTTTTGCTCTTGAGTTGTCATGCTGTTCCAGAGACCGCCTTCTGGGTCCAGACTAATCGCCTTAATGGATTCAAGCAATAACCTCAGTGTTCGAAAGATTTGTTCAAACTGTCACCCATTTCTTTGAAGAACTTAGCATCTTTTACTGAAGGAAAATATTTGAGGATATTGGGCCATGTGTTTAAATAAATGCAACTGTTCTATTTCCAATGTCCAGGAGGGCGAGGAGACAGTGGAACTGTGCGCTCAGCAAAAAGTGAAGAGTCGCTCTCATCTTTACATGCTATGGATGGTAAGAACCCGGGAAAAATAATGGCTCCATTTTGACTGTGTGGCATGGATAAGAAGCTGTAATTTCTATTCTTTAATAAGCCAAATTAGCTTAAATATGACTATTTTAGTGCCTGCTTCAAACAATGCTCCACTGTTAAGAACATGAAAAAAAGTAACAGTCATTTCCCAGTTTTAGCAGAAAGATAACCTGGGGGTTGCTGGGCAAAGGAGGAAGACGAGGAAATCCAGACTTTTAGCACAAATGCATGCTAATCTTACTTGGGAAGAAAACACAACCCTGTTGAGAAATTATAATCCTGTAATAGAAGATACAAAATATAATTTAATATTATTGAACTGACCCAGATATTAACAGATACCTGCTCTCCATCTTACTAGGTGAATCTAAACTTTTTCGACCTCGGCGACCAAGATCGAGTAGTGATGCATTGTCTGCCTCCTTTAATGGGGAGCTCTTGGGGAGCATGAACCGCTGCAATTCCTATGATAATCTGCCCCATGACAATGAAAGTGATGCAGATGAGGGGCATCTCCACGTACCTGTTCTCATCTCTCCCAGGTCAGCAGAAGATGTTGATCTGAGCCCACCTGAGATTGGCGTAGCCAGCCTGGATTTTGATCCCATGTCTTTTCAGTGCAGTCCACCAAAAGCAGAGCCTGAATGTCTCAACAGCAGCACTTCCCTGTTGGAGTCAATAGACTTTAATAAGGACAAGCAAAACACCTTTAAGAAGGAGCTAGACTCCGGCAGCCAGTCCCAGACTCCTGGCAGTGCCACCAGCTCTGAACCAGTGTCTCCTTTTCAAGAGAAGACCATGAGTCCCTTCTTCACTCTAGATTTGAGCCCAACTGAAGATAAATCATCAAAATCCCAGTCTTTCTCTGAGAAGATCACCCATGCCTTCTCCCCCAAGATGGGACAGAAACCAGCCAGATCTCTACCACTAAATATATCAGAGCCAGTCTCCTTCACTATACCTAACCGAATGCCAGATGTTCTCATGGGAGGGTTGTCAGGGAGTGCAGACCCTTCAGACTGGACTAAAGGAAATGCTGGCACCAGTGAAGCCGCAAGCATGTCCCTGCCTCCATTGACCATATCACCTTTGAAAGCCAATGAGGTGAGACCAGGTGATGGACATCAGCAAGAGTTCCAGAACCAGGGAGATGCTAAGAAGCTAGAGTTTCAACAAGAGGTGGAACAGCCTATGCCCAGCAGCAGCCAGAGTAAGCCTGTACCTTCTGGACAGACACAGCCAGGTACAGTGTGTTTTCCTCCATTCTTTCTTTAAGTTCACAAGCGACCAGCTCTCTCACTTCTCTGCGTGCCTTTAAAAGAGGGGGAAAAGTCTGGTGTTAAAATCCAGAGTGTATGTCTTCCAGAGCATGTGGAAGTTGCTCGGGTCCTAATAGAGAGCATTAGAGGAACCCAGTGCTTCTCTGCAGCTTCCTTGCATCACACAAATGCTTGAATATTTTATCTATCACTGTATCTTTTCACTCTTTCATAACATGAAATGATCTCTTGCAATCCTTGCAAATCAGTATGCCGCCTGATAAACTTTTTATTTTTAAACTTAAATAAATAAATCTGGCTACGGTTGAAGACAGGACCTTTTTGGTCAAACGTAACCTGTGATTACATGGTGCAAAAGATCCCATCAAAGGATCAGATCATTTCTTTCTGCATTACCTGCTGCCTAGCTCTCTAGGAATGCAACAGGAGCCCTTAGACAATCGCTTGTGCTTTTTGCATCGAACTGCTGTCCTGTTTGCATGTATGACAGAAGAGGCACTTTATCACGCCAAGGAGTTGCCACTGTGAAATGTTGGAAGAATCTAATTTTTATAATGGTCTATAGGAATTGCTCACTCTCCTTCGGGGATAACATAAATCTCTTCTTTTGTCTGTTTTTTACTCTTCCTCCCACTAGGAGCAGTTGCCCTCGACTCCCCCCAGGATCCTGTTCCAGTCAGTTCTGTCTCTGTTGTCCCTCCTCCTCCTCCAAAAAATGCAGCTCGCATACTAGCCTTAGCCCTGGCAGAGTCTGCCCAACAAGCCTCTGTCCAGCCCCAGAAGAAACCTGATGTTCATTCTGACTGCCCCAGCTGTGTAGAGACTGAAACTGGGGGAACTGCAGAAAAGTTCCATCCATATTCTAATGTTGCTGCAGAAAAGTTCCACCTGTATGCTGCCCTGCCAGAGAACCAGCTCAGTGTTCAGGCTGCTGCACCTGGAGATCAGCACAGAAGCGAATTACCAGTAGATCAGGACCTCCAACCCAGTAGCATGCCTGAGGGCAGCAATCACTTACCTGTTAGCACACCTGGACATCACGACCATCCTTGTCTCCATACTGACATGCCTGGAGACCCTCACAGTGGAACTAACATGGGCTGGGACCACTCCCACTTCCATCGGTGCATGTTGGAAGATGCACACCATCTCTCTCACTCGGTTGTAGCCGAGGATCAAAACCACTCTCATCCTTGTGCGAGAGGATCCGTTCAGTCAGAACCACCCACAACAGTGATGCCAGTGGAAAACCCACACCACCATAGTGGAGGTACCCCTTTGGAAAAGAACCAAGTCCATGCCAACAAGCCTCACTTTCCAGTCTGCACTGCAGACATCAAACTAGAGTTTCCTCCTGTAACTGCTGGAGAGAAAGCAACCACAGCAGTTCTGGCATACACAACAAAGAACCCAACAGCAGCAAGTGAAGCTGATTCTGGAGTATCCAGCCAGAATGTTCCACCTCTAACTACCACAGTCAGCAACAGCAACAACGCATGGGGAGAAATGGATCTCGTGGCTGCTCAGCATGCAGGCGGTCACCAAGTCCTGGCACAGAGACCGGGGGACCATCAGCCAGCTGTAGGACAAGTGCCAGCCACCACCACTAAAGTTTCAAGCAGCTTCAGCCAGGTAAATGTTGCCCAAGTGTTCCCCTGCCGCTTTCTCTGTCTGGCACTCCACCCTGCATTACAAAATTGGCCAAGTGTGGAGAATCTGAATAGGAGGACATCTTGCTCCCTCTGTCCAAAGATTAGAACCCATGGCAGTCACATTTCTATGGTTAGGACCCCTAGGGTATGGAGTGGGCTTCCACAGGAAGCCCCATCGGTGAGGGTGTTTAAGGATAGGCTGGACATGCACATGGTAGGCATGTCATGAGTGGAGCTGGCTGGAGCTGGGGGTCAGACTAGATGGCCCAGGAGACCCCATCTGACTCAGTCTCTTTCTTTGTTTCTATCCCATGAAGCTGATTGGTGGACACTTAAAGAGAGTACTTCTTCATACAGTGCATAGCTAAACTATGGAATTCACTGCCACTAGAATGGCCACCGAGAGTTGACAAGAGTATTGGAGAAATTCTTTTTTAAAAAGTTATTTATTTACTTTCACAAGTACAATAGGAAAAGAATATATGGGGAAAAGATGCCAAGGGATATTCCCCAAATATAGCATGCAATTTCAGTAATTGAACATTACTGTTCAATAAAAGGCAAGCATTTCTGTCTGCTATGGTCCCATTTAAACCATTCAAATCTTAAGATTAATCTAGATTATAAAATTAATTGTGAATTTTTGATGTAATTTTGATGTGTTTCATACTATTTTTGTACGCTGCTTTGGAAATGTCAGCTGAAAATCAAAATCTCATGTATAAATAAAAGAAGTGTGCCCCCCATCCAGCTGTACTTTGGGTGAGACCCTTGTACTTCTTCCCATGGGCTCAGAAAGGAGCAGGCTAAGAAAAACCAGTTCTGCTTCTCACTAAGTCTTCGATCAGCTCTGAATGTGTTTATGAAGCTGGGGTCACCACTAACCTTTGGTGTGCTTTCTCATACTAGGTACGCGGGGAAGCAACTCCGGAGAAACTGTCTGAGCCTAGATCAGCCGAGCCAGGTCCCATTTTTGTTGCAGAGGGCAGTGCCACAATCCAATGTACTTCTGCCACCCCTGTGGCAACATTTCACCAAGGGCACCTGGAAAAGCCCCGAGAGAATGCCAGGGCTCCCCCTTTGCACCTGAGGTCCGACTCTGTTCCAGCTCACTCCTCATACGGATTTACTCCTCCAGTCCCACCTGTGAGAACAATGGAGAGTAAAATTGCCGCTGCTATGCATTCAAACAATGCGGATACCCTGAATCCTGCTGGTTACCATTCCTTTGTGGCTTCCTCCACCCTGCAGTCGTCAGTAGATGAACCTGTGCCACCACCTCCACCACTGAAACAGGCCTCTCTCCAGTCTGCTTATTTTTCTCATTCCAAGTCCGAGAGCCCCTCTGAGGCTCCGGTGTCCGAGAACTACGCACATCACAAGGCTATGTCCCTCCACCAGTACAAGGCCGAAAGCGTCCCTCCACCCCTCTATCACATCAAATCTGAGCCGCACCCAGGCTATCCGTCCTTGTCCGAGACCCCGACCTCCATGGCCCCCAGGTATAACACTTGTGCCATCCAAGGGAAGAGTTCCTCTGTCCGCCACTCCAAGCCTCGCAGCCGAGTGGAATACGTGTCCTCCATGAGCCCGACCATGAGGAGCACTAGTTATGCAGAGGAGACGCCGCCGTACCCCACCATCAGAAGAGTGCACTCCCTGCACGTCACGGCCCCCTCGACCATCCGATCGGTTCCCATCTCCCGCACGGAGGTGCCCCCCGATGACGAGCCCCTGTACTGCCCAAGGCCTTTGTACCAGTATAAGCCATATCAGCCTCATACGGATTATCATGTCACTCAGTTGCAGCCTTACTTTGAGAACGGGCGAGTGCATTACCGGTACAGTCCCTACTCCAGTTCGTCCAGCTCAGCCTGTTACACTGCAGCAGATGGTGGATTCTACGACCTGGAGCCCTATGGGACCATGAGGCTGAGGCAGTTCCATCCTTCCCCAGGCAGAGATTTTGCTTCTTACTCCAGGTTGCAGACCAAGAGTCTGTACCGCTATCCTGGCCTGCCACCGTACCCCCGGGGAGGCCTCATTGGACACCTGGCAGGCAAAGAGCACAGTTTTATCAGCAGGGATGTGCCACCTGCTCCAGATGTCAAGCCGATGTATGTCTCCTGGGATCTGGAAGACATGGAAAAGTACCGCATGCAGTCCATCCGCCGAGAAAGTCGTGCACGCCAGAAAGTGAAAGGGCCAGTCATGTCCCAGTATGACAACGTTTCCCCTTTGTTGCAAGATGAGTTACGGACTGTGGATGTTGTGCACTTGCGCAGCAAATCGGATCCGGGGAAAGCTGGGCTCCTCACTGTTGCGGATGGGAAAGAGGGGAGGTACCCGGTGAAGTTAGGGGCTGCCGATGGGGACGAGTGCTACTATGTGCCCCATCCGGAACCCGAGGTAGATAGAGCCCATTACCAAGGGACCTTTGGAAACGGGCAGACAGAGAAGCCTTCCCTCCCTCAAAAGCAAAGCAGCCTCAGGAGCAGAAAGCAACATGAAGCAGGTTGCAACTCAGCTGAGCACAGAACACACCTGCCCCATGAAGTGGGCCATAGGCAGCCTCTGGATTCCAAAAACGGGCCTCCGTATCCGGACTACCGACCAAAGGGCCACCAGGAACTGCCGGAATCCATTGGGTATCAGCACTCTGGTGGGAAGTATGTCCCAGCAAGCCACGATGCCTTGAGACTAAATCATAAGGAGGTGAAGCTGGCAGAGGAGCGGCCTGACGTACAGCGGTCCCGGGCCAGGCCATCTAACGCCACCAATGCCGAAAAGCACTCCAGAGACTGCTACAGAGAGGGTGAGCACTACGGACAGCCTGCGGCACCTCCCCCGAAGCCGGAGCGGAGCCACAGCCTCCGACTCCAGCACCCCGAGAACGCCGATCGGGATGCCGGCCTCCTTTATCCGTACCAAACCCTCGGCAAACGCCAAAGCACTATGACTGTGGTGTCCCAGTATGATAATTTGGATGATTACCATACCATGCCTCCGCACCAAAGAGGGGGCTATGCTGGAGGGGGTGGGTTTGTGTCCCCCTTCGCTCACCCGCATAGCAGGACTTATGCCACAGCCTTGGGCCAGGGAGCTTTTCTTCCCACCGAGCTCTGCCTGCAGAGGCCTGAAACAGAGATCCATGCGGAGTGAGCTCAAGGGAAGAGCAGATAGAGAGTACGCAGCCTCTGCTGGACAGTGGACTGGTCTATTTTTTCAATGACACATGGCCCTCCCCATCAAAGCATCTCCTGCCATCATCCCCCTCCCCACTCATGCCTCATGCTGCTTACTGTTTTTTATATAGTAAATGTACAGTTTCTCTCACGTTGTTTAAAAGTAGGTTGCAGCAATCATGTAGGTTTTTGTTAAACTTGAAAACAAAGGCAGTCTCCAGGAAGAGTGGAAATAGCAAAGGAGGTACAGGGGTTGCGCTGTGAATGGTTCTTTAGATTTCAGACAATGGCATCTCCCATACCTTTGCCGCTGTCCTCCGGAGCCCTGAGCAGGATATATGTATTGATAGATGGATGCAGACATTTCTTCTCCAAATAAATGTCCCTTCATGTGATCGCCAGAGCAAGATTTATGAGATGACACACCTTAGCAAATACTTTTAAGTTGGTTCCTTCAGGTTTAATGTATTAAACTTGGGCAGAAAGATTATTTCCTATTATTCGTTCAGTTCAACATTTCTGTTTTTTAAAACGAGCAAACAAAAATACCATTTTTCATAAAGTGGCTTGTTTCATGGCTTGTTAAGAGCCAACCCTGTCCATTCATACCAGTACCAATGGGGTGTGATCCTCGTGGTGAGGAAGGAAGACCAAGAGGAGTGTTCCAGTAAAATATTTTCCCTTAAGAAATAAGAAGACATTTCATCAGCTTTGGTATTGTTGTAAATAGAGCTTTGCTTTGCCAAGCCTCACATATAATTCCTGTAATTCTTGTGTTTTAAATGGAGCCCCTCTTTTTTAGAAACAAAAACAGAACCATTTTTCGGGCAAATGCATTTCCTGTGCACTCCTGAAATACCCAGGGGTCGTTATGTTGGGTGAGTCTCGCCGAAATGTCAGAGTGTTCTGGCACAACCCTCAGTAATTCCAGCAGGCCTGCAGGAGAGTCACGATGCAATTATTTTTGATAAGTGGACAGGCTGTTTTAACTCCTTACTGAACTCCCTATTGGACCTAACCAGCATCCCTGGTTCACAGAGGGATGCCTGGTTTTCCAAATGATGCTGGTTATCTGATGGCCATGACAAATGTCTAATTATGTAGCTGTCAGTTTAATAGCTGAGTTCCAGCTTAGAAAAATGATAGTAGCTTTTGCTGTAGCATCACACCTGTTTCACTATGTCAGTTGGGCAATGCGGGGGAATGTGTGCTTCTCCCCATATGTTGTTGGACTCCAGCATGGCCTATAATGCAGGATGATGGGTGTTGTAGTCCACACATCTGAAGAGTCACATATTCCTCACCCCAATATTAAGGTAACCCATGTGCTGTCCATTTAGATTGGTGATACCATGCATACCCCTGGTGCATTATCATCTCCCACTTTTGAAAGGTATGCAGCTTCGCTTGCTTTTTTGGTGAAGTTAGAAATATGCAGTGCACATGATGACTTTACTGAAACAGAAGGAGCTGGAAAATGCGAGACTGCTTTTTAGCATAAAGCTATGCAGCCACTTTGTAAGATAATAAATAAAAATGCAGCATTCCATGTGGCAAGAGAGAGATTTCACTTGATGAAATAAATTACAAAATGGCTATAATCCATTCCAGGCACAGCTTGCTTTCTCTTTCTGGATCACTGAAACTGCCTAACTGGGTTGGAATCCACGGGAAGTATCCCGAGCACCTCCCTGTAACCAAGGCTCTTGCTGCTGCAACAGGCACTGGATGTTACTAGAAGGAAGGAACCTGTGTCAATCCTCTTGCAAAAAGATTTGCTTATTGGCATCCCATGCTTTTAAATACCAACATACTTCCACAGGGGCACAAAGCACTTCTCAAGGCAACGTATCATTTGGTTCTCTGGATTTCCTGGCCTCATCCAGGCTTGTTACAATAAGAATAATTTGTCTCTTTTTGTTGTGATGCACATTCTCTCAAACATTCGATAATTTTTTATTTTTAGCAGTATTATTCCCGAATGCGCTAAGTGTAAATTTAGTGCCCAGAAAGCTCACTGTGAACCAGGTTTACCTCAGCATCTCCTTCCCCTTGTGAGAAACCATATGCTTTTTCATTTTCCTATGTAAATGAGAAATATGTAGGTAGGGCCATTCTCGTCCGCCAGCTGTATAAGCAAGCTAGTTTAGCTGACTAGGCAGTTCTTCCTTGTGCTAGCAAATGAAGCCCAGCACACAGGGGCTTCTTCCAAAATCCACTGAATTCCAGTATCCAGCCATGTAGGTTTTCGCTTTGTTGGCAATGGCTATGTCACTCTACTTGATATTGGTTCCCTCTGGGGTGAGAGCAGGACATATCATTGAGCTTAGGACATTTAAGGTTCAGGTAGCAAGGGCTGCAGGACATGCCTCTGTCTTCATAAAAGCCTTAATTTTCCTTGTTTCCTCTCCATATATTCACCTGGTTGTTGTCTGCTCTCCAGGCAAAATCAGAACCTAGCCTACTAATCTCATTTCTGTACGTTGTATGCCCAATTGAACAAAAAACCTGAAACAGAACACTTTTCTCCATCTCACAGATCTCATCTCCCTGTGGAATGGGGCTGCACAGGTTAGATTTTGAATGCTCACCTCCTTCAAACATTTCAATAGCAACAACAACACTCCCTGAATCCTCCTGGCCAGAATATTCCAGGAAAGTTTTGAAACGGGATCATGAATTCCATCTTCCCATGTTCAATACTGCTACTTATTCTGTCTATGTCAAGCCAACAGTATGATTTTGGGTCCATCAGTCCAGAATGTGCTATATAGCAGTATAACTTTGACCATAAAAGGAAGCAATTAAGAAAAGCTTCCTAAGCTTGAAGGAGCAGTGACAATCACCATGTTCTCCTGTATTTCTCTCGAGCAGCTGGAAACTTTTTAAAAAACAACCTTCTTTTCCCCATCTAAGTAAGCCATACAATTAACTATGCAGTTCTGCTCATGTACTGTGGTTAATTTTGAGACTCTAACCTTTAGAGATGAGCCCCTTCCTCATTCCTTGTTTCTGCCGTTGAATCCCAGGCATGGCTCCACTCCCTCAAGAGAAGGAAAAGTAACCTTCACCAATCTAAATATTATGTTGCACGCTAAGGAGGAAGTGGGTGTCATTCCGTCCGTTGCAGGGAATCCCCTGCAAGAGAGGACCAGCTAAGTGAAGAGTGTGACCATCCACTATAAATCCTTTAATCAGCTGTTTTATCATGTGATCTATGGCTCCAAGCATGCTGATGAGAACAGAAGCCTGGCAGGTTCTCACGTCTCTTGTTACTCACTCCCTTTACCTTAATTGCCACTTCTGATTTTTCAGCAGAATTTTTTGACATTGTTGGAGATCCAGATTCAAACTGCAGGTGTACTTGTGTACACACAGCTATATCCGAGTGTTCATATTTACTTAAAAGGAAAATTGCTCCTGCTTCCCGCCACCTTTCATTATTGCCACATTAAACTGTATGGTTGTTCATAACCTTAAAATGTTTTGATCAGGTTAAAGATTTATGCAGATGATGGTGAAAACATTGTGCCTATGTCTTTGCAGACGTAATCTGGGGAGGGGGGCTATTACTTGGAGGGGATTACAACGAGAATTTGCACAGTTGTGGCAGCCAATGCCATAAACAGCCAAAATTTGCTTGAAATATTATTGCTCACTTTCAGCTAGAATATTTGGACTTTTGTACTTTTTCCCATTCATCTCATTTGGTACGTTGTTGACAAAGTGGTGGTTGACTGCAGCGTGAAATTATGTGTCAAGGGAATGGAATTGTAGAGTTCTAGGTTTCTGTTTTACTTTTTAAAGGAGGCTTCGGCATGACACTTTCTCCAGAACCTTTTGCTATGGAAACTGATGTAATGGGCATGGTACAGTTTAACATGTGCTCAGTAACTTCAGTGTCTCCAGTAAGTTGTATATTGTATAGTTTCAGTGCAAAATGAACAAGAAATGGTTGTTGTGCAGTTTATTTTCCTACTGAGGAAAACTTGAGTTGTCTTTTTTGAGCCACATGAGAGAACCATCTCAGAAAGACTTGGATGATCTCTAGGTGTTCTCTTCTCTTTAATTTATATAGTGTCTTAATTTTTTTAATTCTATATTTTTTACTTTTGTGTGTGAGAACTGGTGTAAAATGTATATGCCGAGCTCATGTTCTTTAATGTAAATATTTTTGTGACTTTCCACTCCCACCCATCTCTTGTAAATATATAGATTCTCATTTTCTCCACACCGTTTGGGGCGGATGTGTTTGGTTTATTTTTATTTTTTATTTTAATTTGTACTGTAATGCTATGATCAGACTTGAGGTGTCTTGTGCTATTAAAAAACAACAACCTAACGGTCTCACCAAACTCAGATGTACAACTCAACAATTAATGAAGCCGGGTTAAAACCTACTCCGTTGTTATCTGTGTTTCTGTTGTTCTGCATCTACACAGGCCAGGTACAGTTTTGAAGGTATTCAATTTCAACAACAGCAATTGTGCAATAGTTATTATCTGATCCTTCACATGCAGCATAACTGATCTCAGAAATAACATGCTTCCTGTAATACATCCCTTATCTTTGTTACCCTTCATTTTGAGACTCCTCATACAAGATGAGAAGCTATCTAGTATAGAAAAGTATGTAAAGAATTATTTTAAAGTAATTTACCACAAAGTTTTGCCTTCAGAGGTGAGGTCATTATGAGTGTTCCTTAATCACTAAAGCAATTCCATTAATCATCTTTTCTTCTATGAAATATTTAATGCAGCTACTACTTGTGTACACTGCGTACTGTGCCTCAGGTGATGACACATTCCTCCTTGGAGCTGTCAAAACAAGTGGTCTAGCTCAACTTCCTGCTGGACAATGACCACATTAAAATGTACTCACATTTGCCTCTCTTGTCATAAAAAATATCAGCATCACAAAATGATTGCATTTCACATGAATGAAATTCTGTAGTCTTGTTAATTTTCAGTTGTACTGGTTCCAACAGTGGGAATATGCGGTGCATGCATTTAAAGTAACATTCAGGCTATTGTTATTTATTCTTTATTGCAATCCGTCCAGGGCAGGCTCACAAGCAATGCACATTAATGAATCTCTCTCAATATCTGTGTATGTATGTTTGGCCAGAAGGATCCAACTCACAAGGCACTTGGTGATGGGAGGCCCTGCTCAGGAACAGGTGGGAGCAGCCAAACCAGAGGCCTAATGTGATTTCCATCTGCCTGCAGATGAGAGCTTTGTCTGATATTTGATGATTACAGCAGTGGATAGGCAACAAAATGGGAAGAATTTGTGCAACATAAGCCACTTTTTGCCATAAAAACACACGGGATGGAGGAGAGAATACATGTCCTAAAGCTTCAGTATTATGCTGCATGGTATCCTAATGCAAACCACACAGGGCTCTTCCAGAAAATTTAATGCAAAGTTTATTATGAATCGTTGGAAAAGGAAACACTATAACACCTAGTTATTGGTGTTTCTCTGTGACTGAGAAACATTCTAAGTCGCTGGTCTGTTCAGGAGATGAAAACAGACTGGATGATATACATTAGATCATCCGTGCTTAAAACTGATTGACTGCCCCCAAAACTTTTATTTAAGAATGCTAAGTAGTGAAATATTAGTGGAGGCTGAAACTATGCTTGGAAATTTGACCCAGTAGAGCTAGTGGCTTTGTTCATCTCTACCATCTAAACCATAGTTCAGCCTTCTGTAAAAAATTGTAAACTCTTGACTCACCTTTTCTACAGCTATGTAGGAAGCCATGAGCTTTGGTTTCTGTTTTCAACCAACTGGTTTTTCATCATGTGCAATTCCTGACAAATAGCTTACTTTTCCAGGGGAACCTGGACAACTTCACACTGTTTTCTGATCTGGTTTGTTTCCCTATCACACAAAGCAAGTCAAGGTTCCTTGACAGGAGAAGTGGGAGGTTCTTATACCTTCACAATCACACAGGGAGGAGATGCAGGGACTCAAGACTTGCTCTTCCTTTCTCGCTGCTGCTTCTGAATCCTTTCCCTGGCTGAGCTGCTAAACATTTAATAGTAACGAGATTTTTGTCATGATGGAGCATGGAAATGAGAGCCTGCCATGATGGAAGGAGGAAATTGTAGTAGAAAGAGCCCCTTTTCCTGGCCAATACAGGTGTGTAAGTTGTCCAAGGGCCTAACACATTGTAGTCAGTCACAGCAGTTACAATTACCTGCATTTCTGGGACATTTATCTTGCTAATACCTGCATTAGCAAGCAGATGCTCATTTGGCTGGCCACTGAAAAATGAATTTAATTAAATAAGCATTATGCAAATTACACTGAAGTCATCTAAAACAGGGCAACATAAAGCTTGGTCTGATATACTGTGCAACACATGAGGTTTGCAATAGACCTAGCTGGAAGGAAACCTGGTCGTCATCATGCAAGGCTTATAGAAAACAGCATTGCAGCTTTCCCTGTTATGCCCACAGGAGGATGCAGGTACTCTTAGAAACTTAGGAGATTCGTGATGCGAGACGGTGTTGACTTTAAAACTGGGGCATGTAAAGCCCAAGCACGACTCAAAAGGACTGAGGCAGCACAGTAACTGCAGGAAAGAATTCTTACAATTTTAATTGCATGTTCTTTTTTAAATCTGTTAACTGACTCTCTTCTCTGTGTGATTCATAGCAGAATCTCTCCCTCTTCCTCACAAGGTTCTCCTAATCACCACCTCCTATTTGCTCTCCATGCACTCATGTGTGCTCATGCTTCTTGTTGCATCCCATAGGTATATAATATACCCATTACCTTGTTTGTTTTCAGTCTCCCAAAGGACAGATCTTTTCAGTTTCATTTCTTTGATGCCTCTTTATACTCCACAGTGTTCTCTTTTCTGCACCATCACAGGTTTCCCTAAGCTCTTGTTCTCTCCACACCCACTGTTCTTCTTCCTCTGTCATCTCTGCACTGCCTTCTTATCTCAGCTGGTCGAGCGTGGCCACAGTCACAGCAACATGCCAATGGAAGAGTCTTGCGTGCACAAGTGGGTCATTCAGCATGGCTGGCTTGGACGGCTATCAGAAGCTGCTGCCAATTTTAACATTTGCTTCTAAATCCAAGCAGAAGAGAAGCAGTTCAGATGTAGCAATGTTGTCATCTTTGCATCCCTACTCTTATGTTTGAAGAGCCCTAAAAGGTGATGGGTTCCTGGCTGGAATGTGCTTTGTCTAAGCCCTTAGTCACAGAGTAGGCTGTGGACATAGGAGATCCTTGCATGTTGGGTTCAAATGGCCGCATTGATCAATTCACTCATAAGGGAAAGGAGCAGTCCAAGCTGCATTACTCCTCCCCCTTGTTGCATTTGTCACTCTCAGCTCATGGAGGGTGACAGCCAAGAAGGGAGCTACACGTGTGCATGGAGGCTATGCAAGCCAGAACTTCGATTTCTCTGCATTCCAACCTGCATGAAAAACCTCCATGGCTATAGACAGCACTTTATAGATGGTTGCCATTCACAAGCTGAGGCTGCTCCTCACCAGTTGATTTTACCCCATCCTTGAATACACAGAAATGGTTTGGGCATTGCATGAGGGGGAAGTGGAGCTAAGCCCGGTGCCCCTGCCCCTTCCATTACCTTTGCCACCCATCCTGCAGCCCCTCATGAGAGGTGGTGGGAAGCCTCCTGCAGCAAGCACCTCCCATGATTTAGAACTCTGCTCTTCCCAGCATTTACAGTGTAGGGCTCTAAGTCAAACCAGGAACAAGCAAAAGCCCTTCCTTGCTGCAAACCTTTGTCCTCATCACATGGAGTACTGCAGAAAGAAGGAGCAAGGATGCAATGGAAGGAGGAGACAATCCAGGAAACTATTTGGATACCACTTCATATCCTTAAAATTTTTTCTTCTGTGGTAAGAATAGTTCTGTGAATACCACAGTATTGCTTGCAGGTCTATATGCAACACACAACAGTTTGGAATGCATCAAGTGATTGCTGTGTTTTTTCCCCATGCCTGTCCTTCCAAGGGGATATAGACCATGCCTCAAGTCTTGGGCTGGCTTTCAGCTAGCCCAATTGTCCCCTTTCAAGCAGACTCAATTCAGCATCTCCAAGGAAATACCAGGAAGCATGGTTTACAACCTGCTTGGCAACCATGCTGTTCACTTCTTACCTTTATTAGCCTTGTCCAAGAGGAGTTATCACAGTTCAAACCTGTGCAGAGGTGAGAGGAGGTGTGTGGGGAAAGGGACTGCAAGAGGAGAGGAATGGAAATAAGTGGAGAAGTTCTGTATAATTGATGGAAAGTGGACCTGTTAAAAAAACACTAGCCATACTATTGAAATGGAACTACCCTGTGCAGAAGCCGTGTTATGACTGAGATGAGCAGAGTGCCCACGGCAGTGCACTGCGAATGCTCAAAGTGTTCCATGTAATGACCGCATTAATCTCTGCCATTTGGCTGCTGAAGGGGGGAAGTCCTCACACTCTGCCAATAGTGAAATGGCCACATGACCCAGGGAACCATATCTCATGATATGGAAGCCTCTGGCACTGACAGCATTGGTTCGATTCATGAGAGAACAGTTTGCCAGCCTGATGAGGGGCAAATATGAAAGGCAATCTTACCCACGTGGGGTCATTTGACTTTCACCAGAAGTTAATCAGACCCATTGATATATGAAAGCAATTTGTAGAGGAGTGTTTTATTTTATTTTTTTGCAGGTTAGAGCCTCCAAACAAGCATTTCCAGCCACTGAAGGGTGGGTGTCAGGTCACAGGTGCTATGTTGAAAGCTGCCATGTTCTTGCTGGTAGTAAGTATATCAGTTGAGGTGGTGCTAACTCAGATGAAGGTGGTGACTGCAGCAGAACAGTTTGCAAACTGTTTGCTCACAGTTTGGTGTGGCTACTGGTGTGTGACAGACATGGCTAGCTTCTCTGTCTCTTGAAGAGGTGCACATTTCTCCAATGTTGTTCTCCAATTTGGCCACAAGAGGTCAACCTCCACAATGCTTTGCTCACAATGATTTCTTGCATAGGTTGTAACCCATTCCATCCTCCCACAGAAGTCTGCTTTAAAGTCTCTGCCCTCCCCTCCCCTCCTCTGCTTTTAATGGATGCTTGTGTTCTATGCAGTTCAGCCCGATATTCTGTAGCACAACCTCATGCAAGTTTATTTTGAAACATGTCTTCCTGAATACTACTTTCCCCGTGTATTTTAGCCCCATCTCAAACCTTTGGACCAGGGTGGGT